GGGGGGGTGTGGGGAGGGTGGCGGGTGGACAATGTGAGTTGAGGAGTATGAATAATTCACCGAGGATTGTAAGCGCAAATTAGGGGAAGGAGAGGGGGGGTGGAATAAAAGCCTTTGTTAGGCGGTGAAGTTTAAGGAGCCGGGGGGCTCGGGTGAGCAGGTCCCGGCGGTGGGGCTTTGTGGGGGGATTAATTGCCGTATTCGCCATCTGCAGAAGGTTTGTTTATAGGGATATCGATACCTTTTCTCGGCTTTAATTATTCGAGATGGGTTCTGCCTGCCCTTGTATCCAAGGGTCATCTGAGCAGGTTAAACGCAGTAAGTGTTACAGCGTGTAAGTTGTGTCGGGAAGGAGCCTGGCCGGCTTGTAAAATGGATGGTGAGCTTTGTGCTGAGCTGGGAGGAGGGATCGGGAGCGCCGGGACAGCACCGGCTCCCTTGGAGCGCCTTTGGAGCCGTCACCGGGCTGGGATGGGGGAGAAGCGCCTCTCGCTCCACTGAAATCCCGACACGGGGACACCTGGGGTGGCACTCAGCCTTTAGCTGCTCTACTCCAAGCTGATGGCTCGTGGGAAGCCTGGGAGAAAATGTTGCAACCAAAATGATTAATCGGTGCCTTGCTCTGCTGCCCTAATTTAGTAGCAGGTATAGGAAAGGGGTTTGAGACTTAAGTTGTTTTCTGATACTTTTTTTTTTTTAATTGGGTTCTTTTGTTTCTCCATTTTTTTTTTGAGCATTTGGTATTTTTTACTTACGTTCTGCCCCACTGGAGGACTTTTTCTTCTTTTTTTTTTTTTTGCAATTTCCTTATCCTGGATGTAATCTGCTTTCTTCAGAATGCAAGAATCAGTATGCAAAGCTTATCCTTCCTTCCTAAAGGCAGGGCTTAAGAAAGAGAATTTGTTGTTTTCTGTTTCCTGCAGACAAAGTTCAAAGTTGGGAATGTTTCTTATAAAGGAATATTCAGATTACTCCTGTTGTAGGGCTTTAATGGAAAACATAAAGCCGTGTCTGTGGTACATTCATCCTGGGGGCTGTGGATGTACAGTTGAGCGAAGATGTCTAAGCAGAAAAAGGAAGGATATGAGCTCAGCAGAGAACTTCATGGAAATATCAAGCATTTCTCAAAAACCTGGGTTGTTTTTGAAGGATTTAGGTTTGACAGTGTTCATATTCAGAATACCTTCAAGGGAGAAGTCCTTTATGTCCTGTTCTTTATCATCTTTGATGATAAAACTTTCGCTAATTGTATATACAGTACACCTAAATTTTGGCTGCCTCTGCTTGTATGTGGATAGTGTTTATCTCTTGATAGTTAATGTAAAGCTTGTTGTTTACTTAATTATGTGCTATGAGATTCATAAAATATGGAATTTGACCAAGTTTACGTCTAAATCTTTAAAGTGAAATTTAGTCATAGCAGTATCTGGAGGTGTGAATTTTTATACTGGCCTGTTGAGTCCGTTTTTTGATGTGGTTCCAAGCTTCTCATATATGTACAGGGGTCAAGATTCCCTAAGAAATCAAGTATCAGCGCCATGATTAGATACTGAATTATTTGGGTTTTAGCCATTCTTCAGTAGTTGTATCACTTTGATGTGCTCCTGGGTTTTCCCCCAGGTGCTGCAAGGACAGCGTTTCAGTGCATGGAGTGGGTGAAACGGTTGCTGGGAGCTTTGTTTGCTCATCGACTCTTATTTGAGCCAAATATAAGGCATTTGGTGAGAAGTATGAGATTTTTCTCAATATTTTTTTAATGAACTCCAGTGTGCAGATGGGTGATGCTATGAAAAGCTTTTCTTCAGGTGTGTGCTGTGACACTTCACTATTAGCAAAGGAATTCTGGTGCCTTTTTAAGTAAATGAGCCATTTAGGGTTATGGGTTAGTCCTTACTTTTGTAGTGGCTTGCAGCTGGTAGGTAACCCAGAATAATTTTTCTAGTGTGTGCTGTAAGTCTTTATAGCATAAAATACATATTTTTAATGCTATAGGTGCTAAATAAAAACAGTAAGGGATTTCTGGGCTATTCATTCTGGGTAAGATAGTATAAGCCAGTGAAATTTAATATCCTGACATGAATGCCTTGCAGAAGAACTTAATCTTTTCTGTTTCTCAGAGTTGGGCCTTGAAACTTATTTTTAGTGTCTAAGGGGGATGCTTTAGAAGACCAGGGGTTTTCTGCTGGGTTTTTGTCACTGAAGTCCAGCTCCAGAACCTGTTTGAGAAGCCTGTATCCTGTGCTGATGGCTCTGGGGGGCAGTGGCTACTCTTGTTTTTTCTTAAACCTGTGTGAGGTGTTTAGGATTGTATGTGCCACTGCTTTTGTCTGTTAATTTCTCTCAGCGCTAGGGGAACTGAGCCACCATTGCTAGAGTCGAAAGTGAATACAAAACCCTTTTGTATAATCTGGGCTGTAAGAAGAGGAGGAATCTTTCAGTAAATCTCCTGTACAGTCTCCCCACAGGTATGGGGAATGCTGAGTGGTTTCTGGCTCATTAGAACAGTGGTTTTACTGCTTTCTGGATTTTTCTGGATTGTTTGCCTTGCCATAGGGCTTACCTGTGTTGTCTGTTCTTTGCACTGCCTCAAACATGAAAAGTTTTGTGAATTCCTTTAATAAAAATGATCAGAAATGTTTTTCCAGTGCCCACTAAAGATGGAGGGGACAGCACAGTGCTAGTGCCCGTCCTCATCAACATCAAGGCACTGAAAATCAGGGAAGAATCGCTGTGGAGGATTTGCCTGCCACAGAAATTTTCCATAATTTTGCTCTGCTGGTGCTTTGGTTCCATTTATCAGTGCAGGTCTGATAATTTGGCAGTGAGCTGATGGAAGCAGCAGGAGGGTTTTCTGGTTTTTGTTTACAGTCATGCTTGCTTTGCCCTTTAAAACACAGTGTCTCCAGTCTGCAGTCTGGGTCTCTTGGTTGGGGTGTCTGAAATTCCTCTAAGCAGTCCACACTTAGCCAAGGGGGCTGGTGCAGCTGTGATCAGGTGCTGCAGGTTGTCGGGGGTGGTCTTTTCTAAAAGGGTGATGTGATAGTGAGAGATTTTTCTTTGAAGCACTTTGAAGCTTGTCTAGCAATTCAGCATTCTGTTGAAATGCTTTTTCTTTCCGGTGTCTCTGAAGGCACACCCTAGACCATTTTTGGAAGGTGTTGGTGGTGGGGGAACAAATGTAGCTGCATACTCTTACACAGGTACACTCTTAACATCTTAAGTGTGGCAGTTAAGTCAACTGTTGGTTTAAAGGTGGAGGTGTGAAGTGGATAATCGATTTTATTCTCTCATTTAATTGCCATCCCCATCTTCTGGTTGGTTTCTCTCTTATCAGAAGTGCCCATCAAGGGCTTGATTAGGTTAGGCTAAGGTGGCATGTCCTTTGTAAGCCTGGAGGAGCTGAGAAGCAGTGCCATGCCTTCTTCCTGCTGCCACCAGGAGAGAGGCCAGAGGAGACCACGCTGCTGTCATGTGTGTAACGCATGGATTCTCCTACAGGTGCTTGCTTCCTCCCCTGCACATTGTGCAAGCAGCCCTAGACCTTTGCTCCTCCCTATCCTTGAACTGTAATGCCTGGAGTTTATGTGTCTGGTTCCAAGACTCTAATTGCTGATGGTGAAGTGGAAAAAAAAAATTAGTCAATAAATATTAATAACACTGTCAAATGTCAGCAGAGTTGCAGTGTAAGCCCAAAACTTTTAAGATTGCACATGTTCCCTTTGGTGTGCTTCCAGCCTGGAAGCCTGGAGGACTCTTACTGAGCCTATGTAATGCAGTGAATTGAATTCTTGAGTGTGTTCATGTTGCTCAATGGTAATATTGCACCAATTTGTGTTAGAATGCTGGATTTCAAGTAGGCTTGCATGAGATTTTTGATATTAAAGGGGAAATTGAATGACAGAAGTTGCTGATTTTTGAAAATCCTTTTTTTTTTTTGTACTACCAAAGAGAATTTGACAGTATTAATTTATTCCTGAAGAGCTTTGGTGTTAGGACATGCCAACAAAATAATTTTTACCTGGTTGTAGAGTGTGCATGGCTAAGTAAACCCAGGAGGGAAGTCCCACATGGTTTAGTGGTGGTATACAAGAGCATCAAGCTTTTCCTGATGATACTTCCAAGGAGATGCAAATACCAATTCAATTACAAGATGTGTTCTTTAAAAAATAAGCAGATTCAAAACGAAAACAAATCTTGCAAGAGCCTTACAAGAAGGCACAGTTACCCATACCTGTTCCTCGTAAGCTGGTGTCCAAAAGGAAGGAATGTTCCAGATTACAAGTCATCAGCTCAACTGCACCTTTTATCTTCACATACACTGTTACATGGGCAGGTGTTTACATGCCTCAGAAAAACCACCTAGGTAATGCATGGAAAGAACTTGGACCTTAATCATCTTTTCAT